TGCCACCCTAAAATATACATACAGTATTTAAAAAAAAAAAAAAAAAAAAAAAAATAAATTTAAGCCTACAGATCAACCAAAACGAAGCAGTTTTGTGTGTTGCGTCTTTTATATTGCAGCTTCTGCAATTGGAAAATTGCTTTTTTCAATGTCGATTTGAATTTAATGAATTGTTCAGCCCTATGTGCTGTGAATTAAGTTGCAAAGATGTAACGCAGCCGCACACAATGACCGTTCATCGCCTCCTTGTACTCAGAAATGGCCAACAAGAGAGTTACGTTTGAGGGTTTCCTGCCCATGCTTCAGACAATCATCAACAGTTTAAAAAAATAAAATAAAATTGAAGCCTACAGATCAACCAAAACGAAGCAGTTTTGTGTGTTGTGACGCAGCCGCACACAATGACCGTTGATCGCCTCCTTGTACTCAGAAATGGCCAACAAGAGAGTTACGTTTGAGGGTTTCCTGCCCATGCTTCAGACAATCATCAACAGCCCGAACAAGGCCGGCTATGAAGACTACGTTGAGGGTCTGCGCGTGTTCGACAAGGAGGGTAACGGCACAGTGATGGGCGCCGAGCTGCGTATCGTCCTGTCAACACTGGGTAAGTGAGACGCCGCCCTGGTGGCCGCAAAACAAAACGGGCGACAGACAGTTGGGCCTTCCTGACTTGGGTTGCCTTTTGCCTCCCTCGCAGGAGAAAAGTTGAATGAGGCTGAGATTGACGCTCTCATGGCGGGTCAGGAAGATGAGAACGGCTGCATCAATTACGAGGGTGAGACGAGTGATCGTGATGTCAGCATATCTGCTTCCTGCCTTGTGGCTTATATTGTCGCAACAATAGCTTAGATCAGGGGGGGTCAAACTCATTTTTGTCGCAGGCCTGATTTTAGTGACAGTTTCGCCTTGGAGGGCCGTTATGACTGAAACCATATAAAGAAGTCGAGAATAACGGTTTATTCGCCTCGTGTTTAAGTAACTGTGATGAGGGGTTTGGGAACAAGAAAATGCTCACGGCATCACTGTTATTTATTACAAATGAGAAATTGTGATTTTAGCAACCATCGTGAAAGTTGAAATCTTTGATTTCCTTTCAGGGGCCACTGAAAATGATGTGGCGGGCCAGATCTAGCCCCCGGGCCTTGAGTTTGACATCTGTATCTTAGATGAACAGAATTTCTACATTTTGAGCAACTTTCATGAGACATTTTTTTTGTAGATATTAAATGACTAAAGTAATGTTAGTATCTCAAAAATAATGAGAAATATCGTTTAATCATTGTTGTTATTTTGTCATATTCGTAGCTCTTGAATTACACTGGTCAACCGCAAATGTTAATCAGAGATGACTGTATGTGTCCCTGAGCCTATTTTTGATGCTGATTTAAAAAAAAAAAAAAGTTTTTACTTTTCTCAATCACCACATAGAAATAGTCCGAAGGGTGACTGAGCTGTGCCGGAGTGTATCCATCCTGCCAATAATATCACAACCTATAGAGTTTAGTTTTTTTTTTTCTTCTTTCCCTTGCCGACCTGAGTCCACCTGCTGTCCATGCAATCGCAGCAAGTACATTGCTCTCCATAGTGTTCAAAATGAAATACAGTAGTTGCATCGATTTTAAGTCAGCATCAGCATAAAAGATCCAACACATGAATATTGAATCAAATCTATATTGTTCAAAAAACATAAAGGTTAATCAGTACTTGATTAGTTTGGGACGTACGGTATTGACGCATGTGGTGTGACCCCTCCCCCACAGACTACCCGAGACATTCTCGCTGTTTCCTGCGCCACCTGAGGAAGCAGGGCAAACAAAAGGACTATGAGATGTCATTTTTAAATCCTTCCATTGTTTTGTTCCACACGTATTTGTTTTTTTTTTGTTTTGTTTTGTTTTTTCCTCGTCTCCAACTGGTGCTCCTTAGGCTTCTTCGGTTCCGGACGTGTTCCTAAATTTTCATCTCCCCAAAATACCTT